TGGCAGCACTGCCCTTTCACCTAATGGTTCCAGGATCTCCCCAAATAAGACAACCTTAGGTGTACACAGAGTTTGACACAGGCACCTACAGAAAAAATTTCATATTCAAACACTAAAAGTTGTGGAAATGGACAATAACTTGTTCACTCTTGATAGTTTAGCAGCTTCTTATAGAGTTAAAGGGGTCTTTCTATACAATATAAAAATCACACTCCTCACTATTTACCCTTTGATGGAATGTGCTTAGGTACATTAACATCTGTATACGAATAAGAAGTTTGATTAATAAATGCCAAAATATGGAATTAGTAAATATGTTTTTTCACAAGTGAAGAGATAAACATATATGGTATAACCATGTTGTGGGTCATCATCCTTTAAAATGTGAATTATCAAGAAAACAAAGTTATAGATTAAAGTACATATTGCTAAATAAAAGAAGAATGGATTAAAATAATGCCACTTCGTGTTTCCATTTCTATAAAATTTCAGAAAAGGCAAATTAATACATAGGAAAATAACACTTCTATATCTGTCAGCATTTGGGTGGGAGACTTTATAAAACTGTGGTGGTTGAAACTAATCTGTCATGGGTTCATTTCTCCCAAATATCTGCAGTTTGATCGTCTCTATTACACCAGTTGTTCATCATTGGACTAACAGTCGCCTCACTCACCTATTTTTGATATATTCCAGGTACTAAGAATACCCAGGGAAAGTAGCTCCACAGTCAGGTGCTCCACAGCTCATTTTCCTAGGTGATGATCAGAAAAAAAGAGGGGGATAGGCTGACATATTTCAAAATGTTAAGATTGATCTTGTTCCTCTAGGAAATGATGCATTTTTCTTTGCTCTAACACAACATGATCTGTCAGGTCAGTGCACCCTTCAGGTGGAAGCCCGAACACAAGGGATCTGCTACAACTGTGCTTCTTCCCTAAAGCTCAAATGCTGGAACTTTAGTTCAATGCAGCAGTGTTGGGAGGTGGGGCCTAGTGGGAACTGTTTGAATCACTGGAGCAAATCAACGTCTTCCCCACAGGAATGGGTTGGCTACCATAGGAGTCTGATCCCTTCTCTATCCACATGAGCTCGTTCCCTTCTTTCTGTCATGTGTTACATGAACATGAGGCACTCAGCTGATGCAGCCATCTGATCTTTGTTCTCCTGTCCTTCAGAAATATTAGCTAAAATAAAATCACTTGCTTTATAAATTACCCAACGTTGAGTATTCTAACAACAGAAAATAGTACAAGAAAGATTCCAATTTTACTTGAGTTACTTGAGTTTCATAATAATAATATTGTCTCTTGTTTTCTTTTGTTTTATTTCTGTTTTTTAAAATATTAGACTACTCATTAAGACAATCTGTATTTAGGTCTCTGGAGACATAGTTTAAAGTAGTTTTTGATAGTATATTTTAAAAAATAGAGATTGTCTTGAGAGTATATTTGGATAATATAAAATGTGCTGTTTCTTGGGAAATGTTGCTCTGCAGCTCGAATTCTCATGGGAATTTTCATTATCTCCTGATATTTTTATTCAAGCACAAAGAATATGAAAACTCCCTAAAATCAGGAGCAACTCATTTTAAATGGAAGTATGTGTGGTAGGTAGGAAATGACTCAATACACGACTAAGTCACTGCATAAAGAGGGGTTCGAGCACGTCAGTCAACCTGCAAAAGTTAGTTATTGGAATCACATACAAGACTGCCTTCATTGTGAGAAAAAAGAATTTTAGATTGTTCTTCAGAATCAGATCCTCTTGAGAGAAGTATCTTGTTAGCTTCGTGGTACCATGGTTAAATATGGAGTGTCTGATCACTTTTTCCAGATATCTCTGTGCCTACTGTCTTTAAGGTGTCATTCTTGTGTTCTGGTAAGTCTGTATTATATTCTTTTTAACACATAGATTTTAGATTTAAAAAGCTGAAAATAATTGCTATTAGCAAAAGTGAAACATAACAATTCCTATTAGGTCTATTGTAATTCACTTGTTTCCTTTTTTTAGATCGTTATATAATTAAGATTTTTTTTTTTCAAATTCTGAGTTTTAATTCAGGAGAAAGAACGTGAAGGCAGGCCATGAAATTCCTTAATAATTTAAAACTGAAAACTATTTTCATTTTTAGATTAGTCTCATACTCATGATTACTAATATAACTAAATAAAATTTGATTCATAAATTTAAATTCTAATGGGAATTTTGCTTTTTTCACATTGTTTTGAAGAGTGATTTTTTAATGTGATTTTTGAATTTGGACAAAGGGATGATCTTAAATGTTTAAATTGGTTCTTTTGTTTTATATATGATACAAAACTTCCAGTCTATCTATCTAGTCTTCCCAATGCTGCGGTGGTGTTATTTCTGCACATTTGGAAAAATTCATTAGAGATGGATTCACAATGATCTGATTGTGAAATTACTGTTCAACAAACCTAGCAGTTGTTTCTGTTCACTCTTGTTTGTCTTTATCATCAGTATGGATGGCTCCTGGTTTCTAAGGACGTTGGAGTGAATTCTTTAATTTTCCTAATTCCTCTCCTAGGAATATCTTGTCTTCTTCCTTTACCTTAATCTTAGACCTATCATAGTGTGTAGATATTTTTTCCAGGAATATCTCTTGATACTATTAGAAAGAAGTTTAATTTGTCCTTTCATATCTACTTTTAGTTTTGTTTATGCTTTCCTAGTAATAATACATATTTGGAGGTTATAAATGATCATTTTGAGATCCTTAAGACAGAAACTACTGTCATAAACATCATGCCCACCATGAAAATGCAAGTATTTCATGTCTTTGATGATGAAGATCTCCAGGAAAGAATTTTCTCTGGAGAGATCATTACTTTTAATATTGTCTCTAGTTCGCTAGCTATGTAAAACAAAAGAATATTGTTTCTTAATATCACTCTCTTAATATATCAACTGTCTTAACAGTTACCACGTATGAATGCCCTCTCTCACAGTATGGGCACCATCTCTCTCCTTTGGGGCATCAAACTCAGGGCATTATGCATCCTAAGCAAGCACCATAACACATCTCAGTTCCTTAGTGTCCCTTTACCGGCAGGATAGCCAGACCTTTTAAAATCTTATTTTAGGGAATCACATCACCTATAATTTGTATTGTGTTACTTGGTGATACATTGCATTTTTGAAATTTGCCTCCAGTTTTTAGGTCATGATGACCCCCAAATTGTCCACGTTCTCAATCTTCAGACAAAGAAAAATGTATAAGAATTAGAAATGAGTGGAGAAAAGTTAATCACTGAATATTCCCTCAGTATTAGTTACTAATTTACATTCATTTGGCCTGTTTTTTCCAAACTCATGATACCACCTCTAAAAATCCTTATATTGCTAAACTTCCAGATAGCTATGCCGTGGCATTACCTGCCTCTTAAATTTTCTAAAACCATATTCATACGTTTCTTCTGACTTCATTGTTTCTTTATCTCAGTGTTCCCTTACTTTACTTAGTCAGTTCTTAAGGTTGCAACCTCAGAAGACAACCATAATAGCTTCCTACAAGCATGGACATTATCAGTCAGTTCTGCAGATTGGTGCTGCAGTAGAGGCTGCGTAGAACGCAGGATGGCAGCAGAAATCAAAACAAGTGAAATGCTAATAAAACTGTAAAAACTCCCGGACTCTATTTAAACTTCTGATATTGAATATAGTTGTGAAAGGAGTAAGATGGGAATTCAACATTTCAACTTGATTAGCTGAGTAAACTGGAACAGGTACACTAGCCTTGTATACTGAGGATGGTTCTGTGTGTGTGTGTGTGTGTGTGTGTGTGTGTGTGTGTGCGTGCGTGTGTGTGTGCATGTCTGTGTGTGTCTGTGTGTGCGTGTGTCTGTGTGTTTGTGTGTGCATGTGCCTCTGTGTGTGGGTGTGTGTCTGTGTGAGTGTCTGTGTGTGTGCGTGTGTGTCTCTGTGTGTGTGTGTGTGCATGTGTCTGCTTGTGTGTCTATGTGTCTGTGTGTGTGTGCATGTGTCTGTCTGTGTGCGTGTGTGTCTGTGTGTTTGTGTGTGTGCATGTATGTGTGTCTGTGTGTGTGTGTCTGTGTGTCTGTGTGTGCGTGTGTGTCTGTGTGCATATGTGTGTCTGTGTGTGTGCGTGTGTGTGTGTGTCTGTGCATGTGTCTGTGTGTGTGCCTGTGTGTCCGTGAGTCTGTGCGTGTGTTTATGTGTGTCTGTGTGTCTGAGTGTGTGTGCTGTGTGTGTCTATGTGTGTGTGTCTTTGTGTGTGTGTGTGTGTGCATGTGTGCGTGTGCGTCTGTGTGTGTGTCTGTGTCTGTCTTTGTGTGTGTGTGTGTCTGTGTGTTTATGTGTACATGTGTGTGTGTGTCTTTGTGTGTGTGTGTGTCTGAGTGTGTGTGCTGGGTGTCTGTGTGTGTCTCTATGTGTGTGTGCATGTGTGTGCATGTGTGTGTGTGCATGTGTGTGTGTCTGTGTCTGTGTGCATGTGTGTGCATGTGTCTGTGTGTGTCTGTGTGTGTGTCTGTGTCTGTGTGTGTGCCTATGTGTCTATGAATGCTAAATGCAAAATATATATTTCTGTGTTTCAAGTGATTGGATTTTTATGTGAACTTGGGGTTCTGCTCAGTTAAGCTTCTTTCATTGAATAGGAACATGAGATGCCGCTCCAAGTTGGGGATATGTATAAGTAAGAAAAAAATCATTTTTGTCTTTCACTTCATTTAGTTTCCATGTCTGTTTCCACATTAAAAGATGAACAGATAACATCATTATATCGATTATTCTCCAGTATAATTACAAACAAATGCCTTAGTTTCTATCCAGATACTATAGAGTTTTAAACACCTATTATTCTTAGTGTAACCGTCTTTGAAATGTGAATGAGTACCAGATTTCCTGGGTCTGACAGGACTTTTGCAATGATTGTGTTAGATTCGACACTACTAATCATTGTTACGGTTTTACACTGATAACCTTTTATTACTCATTTTTACAATTCAGTCCTGGTAGGTCAGAAAGGCACAATGGGAAACCACACACGAGTGACAGTTTTCATCCTATCAGGTTTGACTGATGACCCACAATTGAAAGTTGTGCTGTTCATCTTTTTGCTTCTTACCTATTTGCTAAGCATCACTGGAAATCTAACCATCATCACGCTCACCCTGGTGGACACTCACCTGAAGACCCCCATGTATTTTTTCCTTCGGAATTTCTCCTTCTTAGAAATTTCCTACACTACCACATGCATCCCTAAACTACTAGCTACTATGGCAACTGGGGACAAAACTATTTCTTATAACAGTTGTGCCACTCAAGTATTTTTTGCTTTCCTGCTTGGAGCATCAGAATTTTACCTGTTGGCAGCCATGTCCTATGACCGATACGTGGCTGTCTGCAAGCCCCTGCACTACATGACCATCATGAGCAGTAAAGTCTGCACACAGCTCGTCCTCAGCTGTTGGCTTGCTGGCTTTTTTGTCATCTTTCCTCCACTCGTGTTAGGTTTGGATCTTGACTTCTGTGCTTCCCACACTGTTGACCATTTCTACTGTGACACAACCCCCCTGCTGCAGATCTCCTGCACAGACACACAGCTCCTGGAGATGATGGGATTCGTCTCAGCCTTGGTGACACTCCTGCTCACATTGGTAATGGTGATAATATCTTATGCCTACATTGCCCTGACGATTCTAAAAATGCCTTCAACCAGTGAGAAGAAGAAGGCTTTCTCTACATGTTCTTCTCACATGATTGTGATATCTCTTTCCTATGGCAGCTGCATCTTCATGTATGCTAAACCATCAGTCAAGCAAAGAGTATCTCTTACCAAAGGAATTGCAGTGCTCAATACCTCAGTGGCTCCACTTCTGAATCCCTTCATTTATACCTTGAGGAATCAGCAAGTGAAAAAGGCATTCATGAATACAATACACAGGATTGCGTCTTTCTCAAAAAGATGAATATTTTATTTCATCAGTGAAGGAAAAGGAGACTCAACTAACATCAACAGTGTCTTAGACTTGTCCTTCTCACCCCTCTCTTCATCTTACATCTTCTCAAGCTATATTTTCAATGAAAGTATTTCATGTGAACAAACTAATTTGTATTTTCTGCTTTAAGGTATTTTAAAAGTCATCTTATTCTTTCTGTGCTTAGGTAAAAGTTTTTGAATAATAAATGTTTTCAAGGTCTCCTTAATCTTCAAGAATTGTGGTTATGGCTTAGGTTATGACTAAGTACTAAAATGCTTGCCTTGTATGTAGGAAGCCTGACTTTGATCCCCAGGAAATGAACAATCAAAATGAATTTTAAAAATTCCTTTTAGTCTAGTTTTAAAAATTTTTTCATTTGAAATTTATCCACACTGCACAATTCATAAGCTATTATACTTCCTTAAATTTATGATGAATAGCAGCCAAGATAAAATAATATTTACTTGCATCTTACCAATTTTTAAAAGTTAAGAAAAATAGGCAATATTTTCAGAGTTACACGTCTTATTCAAGAACTTTTTATGGAAGTATGTGGTCTCTGTATGCTGTTCTTTCATGTCTTTTAAAAAATCTTTGAATTGTTTTGTGTTATTGCAAAAAGTTTAAATTTCAGAAAGGAAAATGACTTGTGCCATTTGAAAGTTGTAGTTTTTAATGCAACCTCAGCTCTATAAAAGAAAACAGAAGAGATCAATAATATTTGTCTTGTAAAAGGGTATTTAGATTACAGTTATCCAGAAAATCCGGAAAATCCCATATCAGGCTTCTGTGGGATTCCTCAGCATAGTTTTCCCAAGTTATTCACTGTCCTAATGTTTAACTTCTAGGAAACTGCAAGTATTTCTCTGGCAACCTCATCTTCCCGATCATATGTACACAACATGATGACAAGGAACGTCTTATAGCATATAAGATTTCTAAATTCCAGATCAAAGTCTCCTTGTCTATACCAATTATGCAGGCAGTAGTACTACCCAAAGAAATGGAGACAGCAAAAATATATATGTGGCTGTTTGGAAACCTGTTGAGGGAAAATGAAAACACTGATCACTCTTAACATGAATCAACAAAGATATTAAGCTGCCACAAACTTAATGAATGATTGGGTCCTTCGCAAATGTGTCCTGTCTCCTAAAACAGAGGTCTATTGTCAAGGCTACTGTGGATATGGGTACGAGTAGCCAAGTTTTCTTTTGGATACTTCTGTTTTCATTCCAAGCCACTCAAAAGGGAGTCTGAGTGAGCTGCCAATGTCTGGCCTGTGTGGAATGCCTCTACTTTTGCAGGAGAGTGGTGGGTATCAGGAAATCACAGACTCAGACAAGGGGTGCTCACTGGCTGAATGCTGGTGCTCCACCACTTGCAATAGGTTCACAGGCTTTTAGATATGCTGAGAGCAAAGAAAATGAAAAAATCTCTCTCTCTCTCTCTTCAATCATCTATCATCTATCTATCTATCTATCTATCTATCTATCTATCTAT